TTATTGTTATTTTGAAATAAGTTCTTAAACTTATTTTTCTTAAAACATAGAACAGTGAATAAAGAAGTAAAGCAAACAGTTATCTCCTATAGTTACAACCTTTGTACTTGGTTGCTGCTTGATGTAGGTTGCTAAGCCTTTAAACATTTTGCACGTGGAGGATATGAAACAAAATAAATTTTTTTAGGTTTCATATATACATTTGAATAACTAAAAATTTCATAAATTACTAAATCAATACCATAGAATTCCACTATAATTTATCAAGCTTAGTAATTAAGGGTCTAAAAAAATATGAAATTTCAAGCAGACTAAAGACACACCTTACCTCGTTGAAATATTGGTTCAAAAGAAAGAAATGGAGTCAAGCCCATTAAAATGGCTGAGAAAGCCATTAGAGGGACATTTTGAGCTTCCAATTGGTTATTCATGTCATATATATAAGTGTATATAACGGAGTGTTTCCAAAAATGGAAACAGGTGGGTGGGGTGCCACTGTGTTTGATGTATTACATGAGCAATATCTTAGCAAACAGAAAAGATAAGACCTTATTTTATATTCTAGTTTGTCAATATCAATAATTTGAGTTTCTAATTTGTACAAAACTATAGATTTAGTATTTTGATTTCACAAATATCTAATTTGAATCAGTGCTGCATTCAACATACCATGTGACACACAAAATTCGATGTTTATCTGTGTTTTTTAATATTTACTTTTAAATTAAGAAATTGAGTAATGTATAGTACTAAAATTTAAATTATAATCTACAGTTTGATACCAAACATATTGACATAAATTCATGAAATAGTAGTTCAATAAAATTTTGAATGTGAGTCAACAAACGAGATGACATGGTCTTTCACCCATGACCCGTCTCAAAAGGGTTAAGGTTTTGGATGTTACTGCCTGTGATGAGGATACTGCTGCTTTACAAAAGGACTTATGATATTGTTTGATGAGTTGAACAAATAAATGGTAGATAACATTTAGTTATGATAAATGCAAGGTAATTAATGTGGTTTATCATAATTTGAATTATAAGTGTAATAATTTTGATGGGAATAATCTTAACAGTTTTAGAACAAAAGGATCTTGGTATGTTGATTAAGCCATCCAAACAGTGTGCTGTTACTATTTATAGGGCATATGAGTTTTAGGTTGTATTTACAGAAATATTGTATACAAGTTCAAAGAGGTTATAAATTCATCATATAGGTCATTGGTTAAGCCTCTTTTGGAGTACCATGTTCATTCTTTGTCTCCTTGAGGAGGAGTTTGAATTGCAGCATTCACTGGGATTTTTAAGGAATTTAATATAGTTTCATATCAGAAAGCTTCCAGCTGTGATGAGAACAATCAAAAGATACAAGTGTGACTGAATGCTAAGTATCAAATGATTTTTTTTGGCCACATTAATTCAAAAATATGAATGATTTATACCTTGTGATGTATTATGAGACAATATTACTTCCTTGACTTGGGCTAGTGTTAGGAAATAAGTTATATTCCCTCTAAATATATATACATTTTTCTAACTTTAGTTCCAGTTCAAACCATTTTAGTTTTAAAAAGAAATAGAAAAAAATATCTTCTAGGTAATCTTTTTAATCAGTTGCAATATGCAACAGCTGAATAGTAGAAACTAAAAAAAAATAATTAATTTTCGAAATATATGTGTAAAAAGATTTAGGAAATTCTTCTCATTTTTTGATTTGTATCGATATTGGACAATCAGTGTGGATTCTGTATATGATGAAAATGTTTTATTTATGTAAGTTATTATGATTCTTTTTTTTTTGGTCTTCTTTCTTTTGATTCCAATGGTAATTAAACTTAAGAAGCCCATCAGATAAGCCCAGTATTTTAAAAAAATGATTAACGTTTGTTGATTTTTATACTGAAGTGTAGAAAAATGATTTTCCATGTGAATGTTAGACGTTATATATGGTGAATGTTAAACAGTATTAATTCAAAAGAGAATTATAAAAAAGTTAGTTAATAGTAATTATAGATAATATTATGAAGTCTTCATATTTGAAATGTAACTGCTCTTTAGGCCAGTATGTTGTAAGTATAAATTTATAGACATACTGATTACAAGTCAAAAACAAGTAATTATCTTTTTATGTAAATCACTAGTTACTCCTGGCTTCTTCACATGGAATACTGAATACAGTTTTGGTTTCTACATCTAATTAAGGATATTGGCCTATTAGAAAGGGTTCGGAAGAAGGCTAGTAGGATAAATCCAGTGATATAAGGGTTATCTAATAGGGTTAGGTTGAGATTTATTGTACTATTTGGGGGGGAGGGGTAAATGATCATATTGAAGGTTACAAGATTATTCTTGTCAATAGGATAAAGGCCTCTGATCTATTTGTGCTGATTCTAGGACAATAGGAAGAGAGAACACGTTAACATTTGAAAAATAAAACCTAGGCTCCAATGAAAATAGTTTTATTTTTCAAACAGTGTGATTTACTTATGGAATCACTTGCTTTCAGCAGCAATATGGAGGCCAGTAATGTAAAAGAGTTTAAAATGGGTATTTATAATTTCATGAAAAATAAAAGGTGGGCTTAAGTTTCTTAGATGTGAAGGGACAGACTTGAAGCTCTAAATAGTCATTTGTTGTACATATGTTATATGATCATCAATATAGTGAATAGTGTAAAATGTATATAATAGATAGGGTAGTGGAAACTGCTTAATGAATTTTCACCATTGAACAAAAAAAAAATCTTTTAAAGTTTTCAAATTTGCAAAATATTTTTAAGAAGTTTTGTATACTACTTTTAATTTTTTTTATAAAATTAAAGGATTTTTGCTGATAACATTGACAAAAATAAAAAATAGACTGAACAAACTCTGGAAACATTATTCATCCATGAATAAGATAAAAATAAGAAGTGTAAAAATTAATATGTAAGTTTTGGTAATATTTTACATATTCACTTTATGTTAACTACATATTTTTACAGGATTCAAGTTGTGCACAGAATAATTGAAACAGAAAATGGACAGTTTGTGAGAGATGTAGAACCCAAAACATCAGAACTACAGGAAATGTTTCCGCAGTGATGAAGCTAGGATGATACCATCTCTAATAAGGAGGAGATTTACATACATGCCAAGAGACGTGAGAATTTTCTTATATAAAGATGGTAGTTGACTTGCCAAGTACTGGGACTATGCAGACACCTTCCTTCTGCCACTGGCTGACTGCCATGCGTCTTTCACGTCTTATTGGACTCTTGCTTGTGGTTTTGGTCATAGTTCCACTTATTACACACTATTACCTATCTAAGGTGAGATTTCATTTTTAAAAGTTTCCAAGATAAATCACATTTTTAGTACTGTACAATATTTAATATTTTTAGCTCTTTTTTTTTAAATTAGAAATGTGTTACACAAAAAGTTGTTTTGCAATTAGTAATTCATTGCATTAGTGCAAAATTTACTCAGTTATTTCTGAATGCTTATATATATGCAACAGAATCAAAGTAACAAGATTTTACATAGTACAAATTTTATCATGAACCTTACTATTATGACTTACGTACCCATTGCATTACCAGCATTATAACAATTACATCATAAGCTGGTGCAATACACGTAAGCATATATAATGAGAGGAAGTTTGTTCAAGGCTTGTGGCATGTGCAGAAATTTCATTGGAAGCTGCACTCAAGGTAATAGCTCTTAGTGGTGCAAAGAAGCAAGTGTGTATCTGAAATACATTTTTAGATAAGGAAAGTGTAATTTTATTTTTTACTTTGAAATATCTTGTACAATAAAATTTTGTCTAACATTAGACTGCACTTATTGTATTTTTTTAACTTTCTAAAGCACTAAAAAGTTAGCGTTTGAAATTTATTTGTCCTACTTCCTGCTAACTGGCACCAGATCTATCAGGCTAATCTTTTCTAATATTATAATAATCCAGGGATTATTTAGCTTAAATCTTTAAAACTTCTCAACAAACTAACACAAATTTGTTCATGAACAAATGCTGTTTCTTACTGTTTATTAAAGGAAAATAACTCTACGTTTTACTTATATGTGTTCAATTATGTGCAGTTTTCAATTGTACATATTAAATTCACTTTTGTAAGGTGAAAATCCTGTTTCACTATGTAACTATAAAATTATGCTACTGCCTACTGTAAGTTTGTTGAACTTCATAAACATGACCATCCCAGACTATACCACCCATGGATTACATGGGTAAAGCAGGAGGAGATTGCTGCCCAGTCCTGCCGTTCCTGGAGTGAATAACTTTGTATGGTCTGCTTTTAAAAATAAGGTTTTGTGGTCACCCATTGCACTGTCTCTGGTGATGACATTCCTCCAGACTCTTCACTGCATTGTCACACTCCTTTCTTCGAGTGGAGTATGGGAGTCCTTACCACTTTCCAGTTCCAAGCCGCTGGGGTGGTTAAACATGGAGGCACCCTGCTGAAAGAGTTCTACACAATAACAATTCAGTCACAGAGTAGGGCGGTGATATCCTCCTATTTGCGAAAACCAATGATAACAGAGTGAGATGTCAGAATGCAGTTCACCCCTTCGATTGGGAGCCCTCATCCTACCCTTATGTGAATGTCGGTACCTCGTGGCAGGTTTTGGATTAAGAGTGAACCAATGAACATAAGTCCTCAAACAGGTTTCGGGTTGTCAATTTTCCTCCCTCAATTTCCTCTGTCTGTGTTGTAGATGACAACAGGTGGGATTGTTCCAGTTCTGTCTTTAGCTATCCCTCATCCTCTCTTCTTACAGGGATGTTATTGTCATTTGGATGGACCCTGTCTGTTTCACAGTTGGGGGAGTTAATTGCATGTGATAGACATCCTTTCAACACTGGATGTCAAGTTCCCAGATTGATAGCTCAGAGCTAATCCTTGTGTCATACTCAGAAATCAGAGTGGTTTTTAATCCCCTGATTCTTGGGTTTCAGGTGAAAATGGTATGATCCTCATCCTACCCTCTCGCGAATGTTGGTATCCCGTGGGCAGGATTTGGATGTAGTTGACTTACCGAGTATGATCCACCGTGCCCTAGGCACTCTACACCTAGGGGTGCATCCTTTGTTTACCCACCTTTCTCATTGTGAGATTGAGTTACAGTATATTTCTATGGTTAGGACCACTTTCCTGCCACATTCTCTCTCACTCAGATGTGCTCCTCTTATTTTCCACCCTTATATAATACACATTCTACAGTTGGGCAAAGAGTATACCTGGCTCATAAATGGTGCGGTTCCCCTTATCTTCAGATCTGAATCTCATTACCAGGGGTATCCTTTGGACGTTTTTTGGGGGTACTTCTGTCATTCCCTCGCACCAATCCCTTCTCCATATCAATGTGTAATTCTAAGGAGTGTTACAAAGTAAATCACACTTTTTTCCCCGAAAGCATAACAAAGTAAAATAAGATTTTAATTCAATCAAAAAAGTAATTCCAAGTATCAATATCACTTGATTGGGCCACCATTGTTCTCATGCACGAGATTTGCAAAAGATTTCAGCAAGGCAACAAACATGTCTGTTGTTGTGGCTGTCTCTGAGAACACATCAGTGAGAACATGAATCAAAGATTCACATTTGTGTCTCTCGCATTCAGGCAAAGTTTCCAACATTTCTTCTGTCCATTACTGAACGAAAGCTCCGACATTTTGGGGGGAGATTTAAATCTGGAGATTTCCCAATCCACACTCCACGCTTTTTCATTGACCACTCTTTCAAATTCAACAATTCTGAAACTTTTGAGGCATTAATTAGTTTTTAAAACTGGCATTGCAATGTGGCGATTGGAAGACTTGAATTCTTGAATCATGTCTGCAACTAGTTTCTGAGCCATCCTGAAGGCACCACATGTGACATGAACCTGAGTTCTAGTGATTACCATGATTCAAAAGTTTTTGCAAAAAATAAAATTTGAAGAGTCATATGCCCAAGAGTATGTTGAAATGACATTTTCTCACGAGTGATGATATTTGCAGTCCTACCAAGTTTGTTATTACTTCGGGGAAAAAAGTGTGATTTATTTTATAACATCCCTTAGCTAATCATTTGAGATGAGGTAAGTACCGTATCAGAAGTTATAATTTTCCTAGACTTAAAATGTATTTCCAATAGGTACTTCCCTCCTCTCACACTTCTCACCCTTCCTCTCCACATTTGTCTGGTGCTGACAGTTTGGTAGAGGAGTGTAGAGAGAGTCACATGTGTTATGTGATGCTCCTATTGGTGAGGAGGTAATGCAAGAGAGACATATTGGAATCTTGTAATTCCAATAGGGGGGGGGGGAGTGAAAGGCTTGTAGCATGTGTAAAAAAAATTATAACTTGCAAGGTAATTATAGTAAATATTATATTAAAGCTTTGAATAAAAACTTCTAAATGATAAAAAAGTAGATGCTTTTTTTTTAATGAAACTACTATCTTATGCCATGTCAATTGAGAAAATTACAAAACCAGTACTTTAGCAATTCATCACAAAAATACTTGGAGAGTAATTAACTGAAAACAAAAAATGCTAGAGCCTCTAAAAGTCTCAGTGATGTTGACAGTTTATTGAATGGCAAAAAAAAATGTATCAAACAAAAAATTTCTATCTTTGGTAAAGATTCAAAATTTCAGTACCTGTGAATCACTCAATGACTACTAGCATTATTTAATTCTTAGAAAAATGTGGATAAATTGTATTTTGCATCTGCATCAAAGCTATTTAAAATTTTGGAATATACATTTCTTTTCATTTTTTTTTCAGAATCATTAATAACTAATTGAGTCTCTAAGCTAGTATTCTTTTTATTCTAATTTAAGTAAACTACAGATAAAGCATTTCTGCTTACATGTTTTGAATAAATTTTTAGATGACACTAAGTCAAGTAATTGAAGGTGACTAGATGTAAAATCTCCATTGGTATGTCTAATTATCAATTAAACTATTGATATTACCATCTGTAAGAAGTTGATAATTAGCCTCATCTGTAAACCCTAAAAACAAAACTGTGTTTAGTGTCTTTATATGAAATTAGTGTTAAAGTAGTGAATACTGTACATGCATTTGTGAAGTTAATGACAATCTTGAGAATAAATATATCCTAATTGAAAAACTATCTGGTCTTAAATCAAAATTGGTGCTGTTGTGATGGCTGGTAAACATAATGGTGTTAGTGCTAAACTTGGCAAAAATCACAGTTTCTTATTTAAATGCATTAAACAGCCCATAGAGTGTCTTTCTCAAGTGCCAAAATGTTGAATACATGTTCAAATATTAAAGATCAGTTGACTATTACTTAACTGTTGCTAAAATTCTACTGTATCCATGTGTGATAACTGGACATCTATGAAAGAACCAAAATCAATTCATTGGGTTTCTATTCATATTAAAGACACCAGATGGAATTAGAAATGTAAAGTTGGGAAAGAAACCATAACTTTAAATTTACATATTATATATTAACCTGTGAACATAAGAAAACATTTAGATGTGCTACCACTTTGTGCTAATTGAATTTGATGCTCAAGAAAGATCTTGATCTATCCATGGTAGAACCAATTGTAAATACTACCTTAAGTTAAGCTTTATTATTCTTTGGAATAAATCTTGAATCTATGATTGCTATAGAAACTTTTATATTTGTGAGGCTGGTTGTGAATGGAATGATCCTTTTTATTAAGAATTATTTGCTAGAATGCCTTTTCAAATTTATCATTAAGCACGGGTATTAAAAGAGGTTTAATTTCAAATTTGGAACAACATTTTCCATGCAATTAATTTGATACAGTTTCAGTTTCAAGTGCGATTCTACATCTAACTTAGCTAAATGTAAAAATAATTCCCTGCAGCTACACCCAACAATCCTTGACTGATATATAATCACTGTTAATTGTATTTTGTTAAAAAACATAGTTGTTCATTTAAATTGTCTATCATTCAGAATCTCTCATCACAACAGTATGTTTCCTGTACTTGCAACTACGTATAGCTTTCTTTTTTTTTTAAGTGGATCAACCAAAGAATTGTTTATCATTTTGCTGTTAATACAGATTCTGTTTTATAAGGATTGGAATGCCAATTTTATATTCAAATTTGTACTTTTGTTAGTGAGTGATCTGTTTTTGAGAACTTGTATCATTCTTCTTTTATTTTATTTCTCTTCCTATTTTCTCTTTTTGAGTAAGTACCTTTACAAATCTGGCTTTTTGTAGCAAATGATAGTTAAGATGTGGAAGATTGTTGGATTGAACATCTGTGTCTTCATCTAATTCACTCTCATATATGTTTTATTAATAGAGGCTAAGTTTGAGAGACTGCTCATCTCCACCACTGTGAGATATCTATTTTGACAAAATTCTTCTTCCACCAGGGCACACTATACTGTTTCACACTGTAATTTGTGATATGATTTTATATGCATATGCGTGAGCAGCATTGTTTATGTCCTGGTTTTTATATTTAAATTGAATTACTGTTTGAAGATTCCATTATATTAGGCTCAATTATCTGTAAATTTTAGAATTAGCATGAGTATGCAGAATGTTTGTGTAAAATATGTATATATATATATATGCTTTATTTTTTTGTGTAGTTTGTAGGAGAGTTGCAAAATTCAGATGGACATCAAAAAGGTATTGAGATAGAGGATTTAAACAGTTTGAAGTTGGGAGACCTTAAATCACGCATTGAAGAAATGCTGAGAATAAAGACTTCTGTTAGTAATGAACTACGATCTTTGGAAAGTCATAGACAGAAACTTCAGGTAATGTATAATAAAATTAATTAGAGGAAACAAACTTAAGATAAATGTATTAAGTTTATTTATGGCATTCATTAGTTTTAGAACTTTTTAAAATTGATACATATGCATTTGTAAGTTGACTACTTCATATTATGAAGCAATGAAAGTAAACTTTCTAACAAATATTATTTTAAATGAAAAATCCAATAAGTGAAAAGTTGGATAGAGCATTAACCCTGTTAGCCCAAGGACCTGGGTTCATGCCCCAGTCCCAGAGCTTCTTTTCACTTATCAACATTTTCACTTACAGTAATGTTTGTTAGTAAGGACAGATTAATTACTCTTGGTACATGATGTATTTCACTATTGTGATTTTTGTTCAAATCCAAATAAGTTTGGTTCTAGTTTAAAATATTTTTTATTATAATGTAATTGCAAAGTATTTATTTATTTGTATTTTATGTTGAAATAGGAATGCATTAGCATTATTTGTTGAATTTGTATTATTAAAAACTTGTATGAAATAAAAGATTTTGTATCAAATTTTAAACCTTACAATGTTTGTGATATTTTTATGATACTCCATTTGAACATATATTTTTGTATTGGTTGTGTGTTTGTAAATTTATATCTAAGAGAGAATGATGAAAGCCTAAGATTAATTTTGTACTTTTTTCTTTAACCTATCAGTATGAAGTAATTATAAATTTTCTTACCAATATAATATGTTTATGCTGTTTTACAGGCAGAAATAACAACTATTAATCAGAAACTAGAAAAAATGAAAACTGAATATGGACGACTGGAAGTTGAACTACAGAAATTGAGACTATCTGTTGAACAAGCTCAGTATGAGCAGAAAGAAGCATTGGAGAGAAATATACCTCACATTGCTGCACCAAACAAAATCCTCCCATCTCTTCTGGATAATGTAATCTTGGATGTTCCATCTTTGAATAAAGTTAAAACCTGTAGAATGCATTCATGTTTTGATTATTCTAGGTGTTCTGTTGCTTCAGGTTTCCCTGTTTACTTTTATCACCCAGATGATTATCGTCTCTCCTGGAACCAATTACAAAAAATTGTAAAAAAAGCTGTGACTGAGTCTTTAAATACAAATATTCATGTAACCTTTGATCCAATGATAGCTTGTATATTTGTTGTGTTGGTAGGACAGGTTGAGGTAGGAAATTACAATAAATTGTTTCTTGAAAAATACTTACATAGTTTGACACATTGGGGTGGAGATGGTCGAAATCACATTCTTCTGAATTTGGCATCATCTTCCAATACAAGTGATATATTTACTGGTGTAAATACTGGACGTGCAATAATTGTTCAATCACATTTTTTATCAAGTTCATTTCGAGATCGATTTGACATTATTGTTCCTCCACTGATTCTTCATACTTCACAACAAGAAATCTGGAGAGAGGTACCACTTCTTTCTCCTGCCAGAAGGAAATATCTTTTATCATTTCAGGGTGAACAGAAAAATCAATTGATCAATTCTCATTTTAAATATGTGCAGCATTTACAAAGTCATAATAAAAGTTACTATAGTAATGATTTGACTGGAATTTCTCCTTTGCAAGAAGATGTGGATTCTTCTCTAGTAAATTCAAGGAGACTTATGAAAGTTGAATATTCTAGTGACAGTTCTGATAATCAAGTGATTAATGTTCTGAAACAGATGATATCTGATACAACAAATGATAAATTTTGGTTTGAGTTTTCTTGTCCAAAAGGTACTCTTGATGGTGAGATAAGTGAATGGTTACTGTGTGCTGATCAGACTCGTGAAGAAATGCTCAAGGACTCTACTTTCACTTTGATTCTTTCTCCACTCAGCTATAATATTGTTTCTAGTGTTCACTTACAATTTCGACTGTTTGAAGCTTTTAAAAATGGAGCTATTCCAGTGATTTTAGGAAATTATATTAGACTGCCATTTGATGAATTTGTAGACTGGAAGCAGGCTGTACTTGAGCTGCCCAAGGCAAGAGTTACTGAACTTCATTACATATTAAGAACCTTTACAGATTCAGACATACTTCTTATCAAGAACAAAGGTCGGCTTCTTTGGGAGCGATATTTATCAACAACACAACAAGTAATTGATACCACATTGGCATTACTTCGAAGTCGTATTGGCATTCCAGCTGTTGCAGTTAGAGATGAACCATCTCCAAGTGTTTTTAATGAAACATTTAAACCTCTGAAGTTAACAACATTTGTGCTAACAGATTCAGAAGTAGATGAAAGTCTTGGTCCGCTTGAACCTCCTTTTCCTTCACCAACTTTTCGACGAAATTATAGCATTCCTTTAACTCAGCAGGTTTACCTATGGAATAATTTGGTTAATCCATTTTTCTTGTATCCACATACGCCTTTTGATCCTGTTTTGCCATCAGAAGCTAAGTTTACAGGTAATGTTGGTCTACACTTCCTACATACAAAGAAAGATGAAAATTCTAAGGTTAATTTAATATTCAAAAAAAAATTTAAATGTTAGAGTTTATTAATTATATTTTAAGTAATCTATGACATTTATGAAGTACACCTTATCTGTGAACATAAACTACTTTTTTCAAGAATATAACAAATACTTTTTTTAGCATGTTAGAATTTGCATGAAAATGCCCAAAGAAATAATACATTTGTTTTTAATACTTTCTGTTATATTTGTTCTTACAATGCTTATTTGATTTGTGAAATAACTTGATTTTCTTTACATGTATGTATTGTTGTCCAACTTAGTGCTAATTTTAGCCACCAATACTATATAAGCATCTTAAATAAGTGAACTAAATCAACTCACTTAAAAAAATTATTTTCAATTAAGAATCTTGAAACCAGTTATAAAAAATATGCCTTAGTTGCATTTGCTGATATTCAAAATGTGAGTATTCTTAATATATATATACATAATATTCAATATTACATTGACCTTTTCTTATCTAGCAATCATGACATAGTACATTTACCAATTTTTAGCAACTTAAAAATACTACTGTCTTCATGAGTACTAGTTCATTGTATAAAAAGATTTGCATGAAAATTTAATCCTTTGTGGTAATTCAGGGATGCACCTAGTTCACAGTTGCTCAATTTCCACAAAGTGGGATTTGTGAACCTAATATACAGAAAAACTAATGTAATTATTTCTTGCAGGAAAATTTAATGAGACAAAATGTAATGTGAAGTTGAAATTAAATTACTTTTTTTAAAGTGCAAACAGAAAAATCACTGATCACCTATAGTTGTCGGACTTGTGCATTGGAAAATAAGGGGGGAAACTAAAAAGAAATGAATAGTGTCCTAGAATTAAAGTAGATTAAAGCAAAATTAACTTGAAGTTGAGCTGAAGTTAGTATAAAATGTTCACAATCAGTAAATAGAAATATAGTTAAAGACTAACTGAACTCCTCAACCTGAAAGTGCCAAAACTGCATGCACAATACACAATCTTTCTGAAGTTCACTAATTACAAATGGGGGCACCAAAGTGCAAAAGCATTTCTGCTCCATGTGATTTCCACAAGGTAATCCTCAAACACAAATTCAAGGAGTATGCAATACTTTTTCCTTGACTGGTCACGCTAAAAAAAGTAACTATTCAGGTTGAATTTAGCACACGATCTCATTTAGATTTTTAGAGTGTTTCAAAATTAGAACATAGAAACATTTAAGGTTTTGTAGATAAGAAATATGTACTATGGGAGAGTATGATGTATAGATTTTGCATATTATATATTTGTAGCTGATTCCAGATACTTTTGAAATACTAACCAAACACACTGTTACATCAAATGACTAAATAGTAGGAATGTGCAGTGAATTTGCTTGTTTTATTAACTGGAAAAACTCTGAAGAGTACAATAAAAGTGAACAGACACATCATAAATGTTATAAAAATATATCTTGCACGAAATAGTAACAAGAACCATTAAAATTTCAAATCTCACATGTGCTAATATTTGGTATTAATTAATGTGATTAAATGTGTTAAAAAAATTTAAATGTAATAGAGGTAACAAAATACCATACTTCGTCAGTTTGTCACATGAGCATGATGTATCTGTAAGCTTTTCATGGGCTCTGTTAATATATTGTGTATGTTGTATGTTATGATTAGTTCATCCACAATTTTTGTGTGAAACAGGTAAAATCAATCTAAATGATAAAACTAAAAGATATAGTTTGAATTTATCACTAGAAAGTTTAGTACAAAACAAAAATAAAAAAATACATTGTAAGTACTAAGGTAATCTTTGTTTCATTAATCCAACTAAGAAAGTATGCTGCTTTGTTTGTTTGTTTGTTTTGCTGTTGCAAAATATTTTCATTCGACTCTAAAGTTTTAATGTAGTTTGAACATGCTAGGTGCAGAATTCTGTTGGTTGTAAGCAGTTACGACTTATTTTAAGATGTTGTCCATTTTAGGTTCTGGATATGGATTCAGACCAATTCGCCAAGGGGAGGGTGGAGCAGGAAAGGAGTTCAGTGAAGCTCTTGGTGGGAATGTTCCACGAGAACAATTTACAGGTAAAGAAATTGAAAATAATGCCTAATTTTTTTTTTATTGATTTCATTTATATGATCGAAATAACTGAATTTATTTACAGATATTCCAGAAACTTTTCCATTCAAAGAAATAGTGTTGAATGCAGGTATTAAAGTCTGAAATTTCTGTTTAAATAAAATTGTCAAATGCTTTCATTTGTAGGGAGAAATCTAACAATTTGACTTTTTGATATTTTATTAAACTGTTTTATCTTATTACCCATTTGATATATATTTTAAACTTAATTTCTAACTGTAAGCCTCCCAGTAGCTCAGTAAGTCTTGATAGTTTATGTCATTAAAAAATCAGGTTTCAATACCCATGGTGAGCAGATCACAGAGAGCCCATTGTGTATCTTTGCACTTAACAACAATCAAAACAAATCTAACTGGAAATTAATGTAGACATAGAATTAAAGTTGAGAAAAATTACATTTTAAGACATCTTGCTTGACAGTTCTGTGCTGTATATAAGTTTGTTTGTTTTTTTTACTCAAAATCTTTTGAGTCAAATTTGTAATTTATTCTTTGTTTTCTGGAATATCTTTTTTCTCAGTTGTGATGCTCACCTATGAAAGAGAAACAGTAATGATAGACTCTTTACAAAGATTAAAAGGTTTGCCATACCTTAACAAAGTTATAGTGGTATGGAACAGCCCAAAACCTCCCATACCTGAGCTGAGGTGGCCAGAAATTGGAGTACCGATTCATGTAAGTGTAGAATTATGAAAAGTATTTGAAATCCCTTGCATAAATTTTGATGTTATTTTAATGGAGATCTAAATTACTTCTATATGAAAAAACTCTGTTCAAATTGTAGAAAAAAATCAATGTTGTTTATTGTAACAAATTAGAAATGTGTTTCTCTGGTTATAAACTATATCATTTCCTTATACTAATCATGTAAGAAATTTACAAAATATGGCCACAAATTGTTTCTTCTCTCAGAATTATAAATGTATAAAGTCTCTACCATTTGTAATATATAATACTATAGGGTACTAATACAGGTTATATTTGCTACTGACAAATTTAGCTGCATAGTTGAAGCAGCTTCCTAGTACTGAATTTGTCATTTATTTTGGCTAAATATGATATATCACTGTGACTTCTCTCATTTCCTAGATATTTTCCTGCTTAATCAAGGAAACATTATACAGTTAATTTGTAAATCTCATCAAACTATGTCAGTTTATTCCACAATTATAAGTAGTATACAAGTGTGTATCTCAACAAAAGTAGAATTGTAACTCCTGTTATTTTAGCAGATTTCGTTATCTAAACATGGAAGTTTTTCATTAGGTGTCTAAACATTTCATGTAATCAAAATTGTTTAAAATTTTTAATTGGAATTTTCGCAGTATACAAAGGAATGTTTGGAAGTTATAGTCAATTTCATATCACAAAAAGGTAAAATCTCTGTTAAAATTATATATAGAATAACAACTAGATATGGAAGCAAGAAACCTCAGAGTACCCTTAAAACTTTATTAGGCTGAGAAATGCTCTGTTTCAAATAAATGGGGAAATTCTTCAATTACATGTAATGCTACTTAATATCCTTCTTTCCTATAGTAAGCTATTTGAATATGATGTTAATTTAAAAATATTTTCCAGTTCACTGCATGTACAAAATGTGTGTTATCAGTCAATCGACTGCCATTGTTGTTGTTATCCTTCTGTTTTATATTTTCAGACAGATACACTTTACTTAGCAGAAATATATCACTTCAAATACTGTAAATTAAAAACAACTAATTGCTTGATAATTATACAGTGAATTAAAAAAAATCAATATGTATGTTTAAAATGATTTTATTAATTTGTGTTAACTGCTACATGGATATATTAAAAATAGCATGTGACATAAATGAATATTATTTACTCCAGTTAGGGCTCAAAGTTAATGCTAGCAAACTAATAAAACAGCAAACTAACCAGTACAGGAGGTTATCATAACTGATTAGCAAGACAGTTTCACTTGCTAGTGATCACCATTTTATCTGTGGCATACTCTCACTAAGTATCAGGAAATAAGAATAGTGGAACATCAGCTTTGACTGGTTTGATTGGTTGACAAAGCAATTAATATGAGGGCCAGCTAATTAGACTTGCACCATCTGGTCTTTGCCATGCACCTTTGCTAGCAGCAGGGGTTAGAAATACTGTGCCCAAGTGGTTGCTCATTGGAGGTAGTTATAGAATAGAAATCCTATAAACTGCAGCTGTTATTGTTTTCTACACAAGATTCTGCCTAACTTGAGCATCTTAACATTTTGATATTTGGAAATATTTAAAGAGGAAACATGACACAGTAGATTTATGCACATAGGTAAGAGGCATACATATTTATTAAATTTTAATACATGAAATAATCAATTATTACACAGTTACAGTTAATTTTAGAGAATAATTTGTCCCAGATTTGCTAGTGAGAAAAAATAACTAGCAATCATTTGCTACTTGCAAATGCTACAAAGTCATGCTACTAGCGATAATATGGTGGACCACTTTACACACTTCTTGTTAGAAAATGTCCTGCAGGTGCCCAGAATGTTACTAATAAACATGGATGATCCAAACTTCAATTGGAAATTCTGAAAATTGTGAAACACAAAATTCTAACTAACCATGAAACGCATTAATAAGATTGTATCTTTCAGACTACATGTTATTTACAATTCTGTCAAAACGGGCTTAGGCTACTGAATGGAAAATAGCCTCTTTTCTGTCGAGTTTGTACTATCTGTTCAAAGACTCATCATCAAGGAGAGGGGATTTCAAGATTGTAACTAGTACTTCTTTGATGTCTCTGAAGTTTGTTAACCAGAGATGGTTGGAAAATGTGCCTCTCTCTAAAAGAGTTATACCGATGTGGGACAGAATAGTTGAGCATGTCCAGGTAGTAGAAGCTAATAAAATCACTGAACCAACTAACAAGTTATATGAAGAGATCATAGAATGCATTATGGATGCATTCTTTTGTGGCAAAGCTGCACATCTTTAACCCTGTCACTATGGGCAGGTCACAGGGGTGCATGTCATAATGGTTTAGTTATTTTCAAAATTTAATTAAGCAACTTCATTATCATTGTGAGTCAATAAAGTTTGCATCAAAACATAGTTTATACTTCAATGTTGAACATTATATATGTTTAAAAATCTTAAATCGAAAGAAAATATAAAAAAAAGCTAACTATGTTTTTTCATGTGTCATATGATATGTCTTCTTGTCTTATTGCTCAGTTTTATCATACCTAACATACAATGTCTAAAGTGATTAACACATTAGAATCTCAAACTTTAGGCACTTAAAAGCTAAAATATAAAATAAGAACCTTTTTAATTTGCTGAGATGTCAATATATTTTTCACATCTACAAGTATAGCCCCACCCACTACTATATTATTTTGAAACCTCTTGTCTACTCATGCCTACTTCTCTTAAGTACATGCTTATAACCAATAGTAAGAGCACATCCTAAACTACATTAATCTGAAAGTCATTTGTAATTGGTATGAAGAGAAAGCTTGTAATTTCAGGAGAAAAATCGAAGTTTGTTCCTCTGAACAGAAATATTTTTTTAACCCACATTTAGCTTAGTTAGAAAACCATGTAAATTACAGTGGTTTTAAGTGTACTAGTATAATAGTTTGATAATTGTTTGATTTCCTAAAATGCATCTTTGATATCTACCAAAATTAATTTGTCTTTCCCCTGCACGTGAGAGAATAAACAAGGCTTACGGTAATGCTTAACAACTACTTGCACAAGTACAAATCAATTTTGTAACATCATAAATACCAGAAATCATTGGAACTTCAGAGACAATACTAAAAAAATGAGAGAACACAGTCCTCACTTTATTTTGCATTTTTCAGCCTTAAAGTTTTATGGTGGTTATGAGGTCGGTCAGATTGACAGACTCCATAATAGAGTTAGGGTAGAGAAAATAACAGATATAATATCAGGTTTTTATGAAAATAAAAGTGTGATATTTATTTAAGAGGTTGTAAAAATTACAAAAAATGAAAGTAAGAAAAGTATTTTTAATCTTAACACTCAAACCACTTTGCACTTGTAACATTCAACATTCTGACTCCATGTATTCACGGACAAATGTTTATTCAAAGCTTGAAAAAATTTATGAAGATACACAAAACATGTTAAAAGTTATAGTATGTAAACTCTGATGGTCATGTGATCAGTGTAATCCACCAAGGCAGTAGCGAGAGAGTTAATTGGTTAATTCCTCTCAACCTACCAGACTGACATACCAATGGTCTGTTTTTTAATTGATGATCTATGCATGGTCTTTGATGAGAATGTTTATAAAGAGTGATGAACTGGAACAGTCAAATGATGAAAGACAAGTAAGAATACATGTAATAGATAAGAAGATCCTTGTGGAATACAAAAGAGTTTGTATTGGATTCTCCAGTGAGAAAGTAATGAAAGACAGAAAACCAAGTGAGAGACAACTACGTGAGTTCTGAATGGAAGCCAGACATTCTCTGATAGAACTGCTGGAAAAGATGTTATCCAAGTTTCCAGTTTCATACTCCTTAGTATGGCATATGTCATGCTTGAATCTTCTAAAGATAGCTTCTGAAAAAATGAGAGCTGCACAAAGAAATTCAAATACATCGTTTTCTTTGGTTCATCCACGAAGATTGTGTCTTCCAATTCCAGGCACTGTCATTTGGTCCTTCTTTGGATCTGTGTGTTTTGTCAAGTGGTATGCTCTTTTGCCCATCATTTTCACTTGTTGGGCTTTGGACTCTCCTTTTCATGGTTGACTGGTTTCTGTTTGCCTCTTCCCATGCCCTGTCAGTCAATCACACATATTTATTTCTTTGGGAAGCTAATTGTGTGGGGTTTTCTGATCCAGTTGGAGAAGTCCATTCTTAACCCTACTCAATATTTTAATTCCATTGGAGGTTTTTCTTCAATTCTCTTTTTCATTGGGCCCAGCCTTCTCCACTTTGGTTCATGGATATGGATCAGGAAGTCTCAATGGCCCCACCTTCTCCCTTTATCACTACACAAGGGTTTCTCTCTCTTTTGGGGATATGAGCTTTCTTGGACCAAGCTCACATGCATTCCATTCAGTGGATGCTTCTTGACCAATGGAATTTTTCCAACAATCCCTTGGACCATCCCATTACCCTTCTTCCTGAGATCAGGGACAACCTTGTTTGGTGACTTGACAGGGAACTGACCACAATGGGGAGTTCTCATTCCTCCACCTTGTCCAGAGTCTCATTTGTTTACTGATGCTTCCTTGGTGGGTTGGGGGTCTATCCTCGATTCCCAAGAGATTTCTGGTCAATTTTCCATCGAGGTGGCTACTCTCTAATTCCAACATCTTGGAACTTTTGGCAGTTTGTCAGGCTCTGTATCAATTCCTACTGACTATTCCACTGTCACTGGCTATATCACCAAGCAAGGGGGAACCAAATTCAGATCTCTGTGTTTTCAGACTCTGGATCTTCTTTATTGGGCCCTATAGGGCAATTTGGCGTGTCACATTTCTGGTGTTATGAATCTAGTGACTGATAGCTTATCTTGACCCAACTATGTTCTCCCCACATAGTGGTCCCTTCTTCTTCAAGTATTTTGGTTGGTGTGTTTTCAACAGGAAACACTGCATGTAGATGTGTTTGCCACTTACTGGAAATGCCAAAATACATTCCTTTTGTCTCTTGTTCCACACTCATCAGCTTTGGGAGTAGATGCGTTCAGTCAAGATTGGAGGAGTCTTCAACTATGTGCCTACCCTCTGATCAGATTCCTCTCCTGAGTGTTTTCCCTTATCCTGACCACTCCTTGTCTTGTCCTGCTCATTGCTCCATATTGGCCTGCTCAAACTTGGTTCCCTCTGCTCTGACCCTTATAGAAGCAACATACCCTGCCATTTCCTCTGTCCCAGTCTCTCCTCCTACAACTGGACATAGTTCATTCCGATGTCACCAAACTTCATCTTCACACATGGCTTTTGTTCTGTCCCTTGCCTCAGCTCAAGGACTCACCCCCTCATGTAGTATCTTTCCTTTCCTGTTCCATTCAATTTTCCTCCTTGTCTGTGTATCAGAGGCATTGGTCAACCTTCAGACCTTGGTTCTTTCACCATGGTTTCTGCCCCTCCCATTCTTTGGTACCTCATCTTTCCCAGTTCTTTGGTACCTCATCTTTCCCAGTTCTTTGAATGTTGTTGGATAAGGGTTTGTCCATGTCAACTGTTTCTAGTTATGAGGCTGCTCTGCCAAGCACCTTCTGATTCTCCCACTTCCAGAAAGGTTTCTCCTCCCATGTAACTTTTCTCCTTTTCTGTTACTTTCATCTTGTCTGTCCTCCATGTCCCTTTGTTTTGCTGTATTGGATCTCAGTTTTGTCCTTCATATCATGTCCAGTTGTCCATTTGAATCCATTGCCACATGTTCCTTGTACCATCTTCCTCCTCCTCCTTTCTTGTGGTTGTTGTCATTCCAATATTTATGCTATTGATGTTTCCCTTTTATGTTATCATCATCAGGCCTTCCTTCCATAGACATCTGCTGCCTGGGCAGGTGGCTTGGTCTTCTCTCCTATTTCCTTACCTTCAATTTCCATCCTGAACTCCTGTTCAGTTCCAGATAAACTTCTTTGTCTAGTTCATTCTCTGAGATGTTATGTGGCTTGTACTGCTTCCTTTCATGTTATCCTTCTCATCTATTTGTTCCAAGGATTCCCTCTGTGTTCCCTATTGCACTCACTGGTTGGGTTTGTCAACTCATATGACTGACATATTCTGACTTGTTCATGGAAGGTCACAGTGTGCACAATGTTTCTTTTTACACAGTTTGTCATCTAACTAACTCTTTAGCTGCTCCCCTTCACCACCCTTTGGAGTCGATCATTCAGGCTAGAATGTAGGCAACTCCCAAGAAATGTGTCACACATTATCTGCACAACCTGGCTGTTTCTTCCTCAGACAGGTGCTGTCTTCCTCCTGTGGTGATTCTACACACATCTGTTCACCTTTAACAGGGGTAAGTTGACATATTATATTTTTATTTAATACATATGGTAGTAGGTATTGCCTGGTCAGGTATTCTTCATATTTTATTTGCACAAGATATGAATAATTCTATAATGCTCACTATTGAGGTGGGGTGTTTCTGTAAGACCACTGGCAGCTTGTCCAGTGGTATGTGTATCTGTGTATTTTTTTGTGCTAAAAGTTACTAGTTTCATTTATGAAAGACCCCGTCACTCTTGGACCTCATGAGTAAAGCAGTTGGGTATATTTCTGCCCATCTCTGCTGAACCTGTCTATGGATTTACAATGCTACAATCAGGGGTTTGATTTCACTCGATGGATGCAGCAGATAGTCCATCGTGGCTATTCTATAAGAAACACACATCCAACTGACCTGTGATTCTTACAGTTGGGGGTCAAGATAGGAAATTGCATACATCCATTTAATTGTCTCTAGTGTGTCTTACCTCTGGACATCCCAATGCATATTCCCCACCCCCTTCTTTTCTAGTGGAACACAGGAGTCCTTACCACTTCCGGTTCCCAGTTGCTGGAGTGGTGGACTGTGGAGGCTTCCTCCTGAGTAGGTTTTTGTAAAACAAGATAAAACTTTCTAGGCTATATGTACCCACTCGGTAAGAGGGATATAGTGTTTATAATCATTATAGTACTGAACAATGAATTATACAGTAATATTCAGTATCCAAGATGCTTCCCCCAGATGTTTTTACCTCGGTAGACCACTCTTGTTGATCATATATTTCTTATGCAAGGTGCTTCCACTGGATGTATTTGCCTGGGCAGACCTCACTTGTTGATCTCAAATTCTTATGCAAGGTGCTTCCAGTGAATGTTTTTGCTCAGTTGGACTGCACTTGGTATAATCCAACATATCTCAAGGCACTTCCCCTGGATGTTTTTTGCCTGGGCAAACTGCACTTAGCTTATTCAAGTACATTTCACAGTCCTTATGCCCTAGCCACATATTGTTATTTCATTATTCTCTCTAGCTCATTTACTGGCGCCATACTATGGCACTCTATCACTATGTTTGGTACTACATCTAGTTTCTTACAATGGATCGTTATGACATGGATTTGGACAGAGGGCTAGTTATGATGACCTTCATGATCAAACAGTAATTTATATCATTCACAATCCTCCATATCCAAGACACTTCCCTGGATGTTTTTGTCTGGGTGGACTGCACTTGTTGGTTGCTATATCTTATACAAGATATTTCCACTGGATGATTTGCCCTGATGGACAGCACATGGCATAATCCGATGTAACCCAAGGCATTTCCCTTGGCACATACATATGAGTGAAAGTGGTTGCATACACATGAGCCTTTCCATATTTGTTAACTCCATACTGATTCATGTCATAGTTATCCATCACTTCCTATACTGATTCAGGACTGTATGTCTCTTTATTGACTTCAGTTGTACCTGTCAATTCAGTTCTGCCCCAGTTGTGTTACTGTATTGATTGCTTGGCGAAGAGCATACCTGTTCCAGAAGTAGGACTGTACCCCCACTGGTGTGCTTTCTTTTCATATTCTAGCACACCTGTTCTTTCAGAGCAGTCACTTTCCACTTTGGGTGAGAAGAGGTAGTACCATTTCAAAAGTGAAAATTTTTTTACTCAGAAAAAAATTTATTTCATATTTTTATCTTTTAATTTTAACATATTTTACTGATTTTTCTACAGTTAATGTTAGGGTAGAGAAAATAACAGACAAAATATAAAATTTTACTGATAAAAAGATTTGATATTCATTTAAGAGGTTCTAGAGAATAAACAAATAAAACTTGAAAAGTGTAAGATGAAAAAAATTCTATTAACACAAATATCACATTGCATTCAGATTGACTTAGAAAAGGCTTCATAAATTCACAGATAAACCTTTAGTAAAAAATACTAAATTGACAAATCTGATTTTCTGTACACAGAAGACATGTAATGTTTAGTAAAAGCTCACCAATTTCGTGAAGATACATATAGCACACCATAAGCTATAGCTTGTATAGTTTCTTGGTTACATGTTGGTTACAAGATCAGTAAAAATGATTCGGCCCATATACAAAAATTTAATCGGTGTAACAAGTAATTCCAGAAATAGAAACAACTGTGCAAAGACTTTTTGTGTGAATGGTTACTTTTGTGGACATAAAGCATTACACTGCCAATCTCAGAAATCCTGGTGGATGTTGATGACCATATAATGTGTGAATAATCAATTAATGAGCCTGAGGATTATTCAGTTGGCAAATTCCACTAATTGCCTAGCTCTAGTACAAGTAGTGATTGATAGTGCAAACTCAGTTTAGATGGACTATTTAAGGAACAAGAAGATGTTAATAAGAGGAAAAGTGAGGAATTGTCAGGCTAATCTGTTGGAAATAAGAAGCAAGAAACAGTATATGTGCGTTTGCTCAATCACATTATATTTGTTATCTTAAAAGTTGTAGGAAAAGTAGTAGTTCTTGCATATGATACTTGCCCCTTTTGAAATCACACATGTTCTTGTTGGCATCAATCTTTTTGTATCCTAATTTTGTATTTTTAATAGAAAAGTATATGTGGACCAAATTATAGTTGCAGCAACTAGGTAGGTGGCAGCAGGTTGAAAGAAAAATTAAAATAGTAGAAACTATACAAATTAACAAAAGAGTTGCTTACATAAGTTGAACCACTTTTATAGAATCTTGGTGGATAAAATTCTGGTACATATGTTGAAGTGAATTTTATAAAAGCTAGTAAAGAATATCATACAGGAATTTGAAATTATGTATATTTTTATTGTTTTTCAGGTGATCAAATCCCAAAAAAACAGCTTAAATAATCGTTTTTTACCATATGTTGCAATTGAAACAGAAGCTATTCTGTCAGTTGATGATGACGCCCACTTACGGCATGATGAAATAATATTTGGTTTCAGGTAGTTACTTGTGTCTTGTGAATTAAGTTTTTATGCAGTAATCTGACAGATTTACTTTGTCATTCAAAAGTTAAGGTATCAGACCTAAAGCTTAAAGTTAAAAAAACTCAAAAATATTCAAGTTTGACTGAATCATAAAATATTTATTTGTGTTATATATATATGAAAGGTCTTGATTTACTGTAAAAAATATCCATGAAATTACAATACTCATGCTACTAAAAGGCTTCCAGAGTGGTAAGCTTGTGTAGTACAGTGTATGTAATTTTCATTGTTAGATTTTAGTTGCATTTTGATTGCACTTCAATATTTCTTAGAATTTGCACTTGTAGAAGCAAAACCTAGTTGACTGACAGTTAAACTTAAAATAATAATATTTTTTTATATAGCTATTTATTTTGTAGGAGAATAGTTCTGTTAAAGAAGATACTAACTGTAGAATATGAAAATATAGTTATGGCTGTTGTTGCAAAGTGTTCATTTGAAATATTTAGGAAGGGTGTTTTAGGGTTTTTATATTACAAATTTTCTATGATTGGAACAACCACACCTGCACCCGAGAGATACCATGCATATCATGATTGTAATATATCAAATGTTTAAGCAGCTATATTATTATTTTCATGAGAGAAGTATATTGCTAAACAGTAAAATAATTTGAGATTTTTGGATATTAATTGTAACAATACATAACAAGGCCCTACATTAATTGTTGTTTCTTCTGTAGAGTTTGGCGAGAGGAAAGAGACAGAATAGTAGGTTTTCCCGGCCGTTACCATGCCTGGGATCCTCACCATGGAGGATGGCTGTACAACTCAAACCACTCTTGTGAGCTGTCCATGGTGTTAACAGGAGCTGCTTTCTTTCACAAGGTTTGTGTGTACTGTATCTGATTGCATTTTTTAATAAAATAATAAAAAGAAAGGCAACGATTAGAATACATAAATGTACATGATAGTTTAACACTGAACTTCCCCAAAGTCTTTTCCACTTCAGAACCTGTGTCTCATCAGTTGTAATTAAAAGAAACCTTCTTTTCATGGAATTCTCCTGGCGGCAATTTTGACTATATAGATTACTGCCATTTTTGAAATAAGTTCTTAAAGTTATGTTTCCTAAAACATAGAACAGTAAATAAAGAAGTAAAGCAAACAACTATCTCTTACGACCTTTGTTCTCGGTTGCTGCTTGATGCAGTTTGCTAAGCTTTTTAAACATGGAAAGTATGCAAATTTTCCATGAATGCTCAATAACTTTCCTTAGATTGGCCATAGAAAGAGACATTTAAGTTATAGTATGTACCACTTTATCAACAACAAAAATATTATTCCTTGACATATAAGGAAGTTTATAGGTATTGCATTGTAGCAATTGTAATATGTCCTGATAGAATGAGTTCTAATATACTGTCACAGTAAAAGTAATACAACTTGTATTTACATATTACTATACTGACCACACTTATCTTTTAAAAAACATGAATAATGTCCTGTTGAATGTTAACTTTGTTTCTCTACAAAATTCAAAACTTTTTCATGCATAAAAGGAGCTATTGAAGCTTCTATTAATTATTAATGCTTAGTGAATCTATATATTTTCTAGTTCATTTATTTTTGAAATTAATATAGTAAACTACAATCTCCCAAATGTTATTTTAAAACTGGTGCACAGTAATTGTTACCATGTGTATCAAACAGCTGAAGCATTGTTTGCTGATTTTGTCCTCACTAGCACTTAACATTGGTTCTCACCTAGATACATATTAGTAAGACAGACAGTTAAATTTTATTTAGGTTTTACTTTTATATTTTAATTAATTATATATTATTTATGTTTTAACATTCATATTTGAAAGGTTTAATAATTTTTAAATATAACCCAAACTTTGCCCTGGTTTCCAAAGTTAACTTCATGAGCAAATACAAAAACATTTTGCTAAAGGCTTGTGTATCTCTGTCAAAGCTACTGTAGTATGCCCTGAGGGCACCCATGGTGTGTGTTGAGAAATAGTTATAAGCCATGAAGGACATGAAAGTAAAGACCTGAAATAAAAAATATAACCAAAAGAAGATACTTCAAAATTATTCGACAAAGAGTTAAAAGGTATGTGCATACTTCCATTTCTTAATTTTAAACATTTCTTTGCACTGTATGTTGATGATAAAAGCTACAGTTAATGACATGATAATGAAAATGAAAAATAAGATATAAACATTTACCTTAAGAAAACTGTTAATGTTCATTTAGGAGGTTCTAGAGGTTATGCAAATGAAATTTGAAAACTGTTGCACCTTGCACATGAACTATTCAGAGTATGAGTGCAAATAACTACAATAAATATTTCAGTAGAAATAGTAGAAAAAATCAAAATTAAATATTTTATTTTTCTTAAACTACATACTTTTAGAGAAGTTTATGTCAAAGTTCAAACAACCTCATCTACTACTTTTATTTTTGGAACAAAATAGGATGTGAGTTATGTTATGTCCTTACAATGGAATTTGAACTAAGAATGCATAAACAGCACTGTACCATTAGATTTAGTTTAGACATCCATGTATGGTGAACATGACGTTTAAGTATTTCTTTCAATATGGTCTTACCTCCTATCACACAAAGCTGTCTCAGTCTTCTTTCTGCCCACTAAGTATTGCTAAAAACACTTTGCGTTTTGTGTTCTAAACATTTTTGAACACACTCGCACACTATTGGTGGAGAGTAGTCACATGATGTGTAAGTGCTAAAAATCACCATGAAATGGGATATATAGACTGGTTCACTGAGAACGAAAATTTTTTAGCAATGCTTAGAGGGTAGAAAGAAAATCGAGATAGCTTTGTGTGAGAGGGGTAAGTACCTATCAGAAATACATTTTCAGTGTAAGAAAAATGTTAACTTTTGAAATGAAGGAAATCAAACTTGTATGAAACTTTGAATTATAAAGTATGTGATAATGCTAATTTCAATAGAATACATTGATAGTAAAGTTATTTCATTAAATTTTAAATGTAACTCAATAAAACCTTACGACATGCACAGAAAGTAGTTTAAAGAGTGCGATCGAAATGAAAGGGTTAACTAATTTTAAAGCTCTTAACAGGAAAAAAAAATGTAACTAAAATTCAACTTCGATGACAAGGAACCCACTTTGAGACTAATAATGGCTGGAGATGGCTTGAATGAGTGATGAAGAAAAACTTTAATATAAGTTTAACATAACAGCAAATGTACAACGTTTGGACAAGGTTTTGTCATCATGACTCACTCTTTCAGCAGTGGGGGCATTATGATGTGACAGTGAATCCCAATACTCAGTGGTAAAGAGTAGTCTAAGAGTTCACGGTAGGCTGTATTAACTTGCTGCCTTCCCTTTAGTCTATCGCTTCTAAATTAGGTATGGCTAGTGCTTATAGCCCTTGAGTAGTTTTGCACAAAATTCAACAAACAAACGAATCAAGTGGTCCTTAATAGAATGTTAATACAGAAATATGTGTAACAGATGGCCTTAGATGCTAGTCATTTGGAGTTTCACTTTAAATCCAGTTTCAAATAGATTTATATTAAACCTAGGTTTACAGTCGTGAGTGGAGTACATAAGAATGTTAATACAGAAATATGTGTAACAGATGGCCTTAGAAGCTAGTCATTTGGAGTTTCACTTTAAATCCAGTTTCAAATAGATTTATATTAAATCTAGGTTTACAGTCATGAGTGGAGTACATAAGTCTCTAACTCAAGGAACTTTACAGTTAGAATAAAGAATTGACTCAGAGACTGAGCTTCAAAACATTTGAAAAATAATTAATGAACTAGTATGATTACACTGGAAATTTTAAAGCTCCAGAAACACAGTGATTGTGTTAGCTTATATTCTTAAAAAAAACAAACAAAAAAAACAACAGATTACACATGTTTATGAAATAAACACTTCTGAATAATTCCACAAGTCATTTAAAACACTTTAAAGCTTATGAAATTAAGAGTTGTACAGAACACCATGATTTTTTCAAAAGTATAATGACTACATATTGAATTAAAGTGTTAATTAACTATTTATGCACCCAAATTGTTTTTGGATACATGTCTTTGGTTACAGAGTTTCTAACACTGTGAGATGGGATGTTCTCTAAGACCACTGGTTTTTATTTTTGCAGTCCAATCCAAACTGTATCCATTCCATGGACTATTATGGAAAAATCCAGCACCATAATTGTGTATCTGCCTGCTTCTCTGGCTAGCACTTGCTGACTTTTAAAAATAGTGTTTCACTTTAACCCATTTCACTGTCTTCAATTAAAAAAGACCTTTTTGGACTGAAGGACAACTGGTAGGGATCTGGGCACATTCTCTGGGTCTCTACTACGTGAATTCTTTCCAACCCCCTTGAGTGGGGCAGGGAAAACCCTTGCCACTTACCAGCTCCCAGCATGATGCATTATGGAGAATCCTCACCAGTTGGGATCTAACAGCTGGTGCTAAAACAAAGGGTCCCTCTACACTAGGATGTGGAGCAGGGGTGTTTCTGGAGTGTAGTGTGGACCACCCCAACCTTACCTAGATACATCACAATCTTTGAGTGGATTTTATATGCATATCTCCCTTACTCTGTTTTTTCTTTTCACTTGCTCATTAATCCTACTCTCACAGCTGCTGAGAGGCCTGTAGAGTCTGCTGGTTACGTGGTGGTTTCATAAGTATCCTTATCAGTTGTGTCCACTGCAGTGCCCTCCTCCTGCAACTGGCATGGGCCCTTAGTGTCTGACAGTTGAGGAGCTGTGCACAGATACTTTTCATAGTTGCTCTTCTCCCACATCTGGTGTTGACCTGTAGAGGTTCATGGTTGAATGTGCCCCAACTTCATTACACATATTGGCCATCTGATGGTTTGTGTGCAAGCTCTTAGGCAGTCATTTTTCTGTTCCACCCATCCTAGTGACTCCTATCCTTCACTGAAGCGAAGAGTATATGCTGGATAAGATGATATGCAGTCTCTCATGCCATAGGGTGTTGTACACCATGGATTTCTTTTTGATGCTCTCAAAAGGGGACTCATCTAAGTAACTTTTATGCTGGTCCCTTCACCATCCCAGTGTGAGGTTCTAGCTAATCTTTGTATGGAGGTGATTGATTATATCAGAAATTAACATTTTCCTTAACTGAAAATGCATTTCTGATAGATATTCACCTCCATACACATTCCCACCCTTCCTCCTCACTTTTATTGGTTGCCTCATCAAAGAATGAAGTTTCAGGTGTGAATGCAGAAAGAGTATTTGTGCAAGGAGGTCTGTTGCACTTCTGTTGGTGGAGGTTCTTACTGTATGATATGTAATCATGCAGTAGTTCAAAAGCACATTAATTTTAGGTGGGAGTTTTCACAAGGCTAGTAATCAAGTTTCTCAGGCAAATTAGCTTGACTTAAAGAGGAAAATAGTTAATCTGTGTATGGAGATGAGTATCTATCAGAAATACATTTTCAGTTAAGGGAAATTTAACATTTCTATGCCAGATGTTAATTAAAACAAAACATCTAACTGTGAAACTTATGATTTTCAAAGCAAACTACAATACTTATATTTATTTCAGTCACTTTCAGCTACAAATGTGTAAGTACCTTTAATAAAATGAAGTAGCATGACTTTATTCTCCTTAGTTGTTTGACAGTGAAAGGCTACAGCTCTCCATAGGTTTCAGTTTGAACAAGAAATAACATTTTTCAGTTGCCAACAGCTATTTGTATAATGACTTTGATACTTCACCACATTTTGTGTTACATTAACAGTTTCTAAGAGAATAGAAATAGTTAAGTCAAATTTGTAAACGTGCAGCCTTGGCTATAGTAGACTATTTGTTAACAGCAAATAAAAAATAG